GGGATGGGGTTGAGGTCAGAAGAGATGGCGCTGCTTTGACCTGGCTGGCGATTTTTTTAGAGAAGGGAGACGCTTGACGTTTCAGTAGAGCAGATGTGTGTGACCTCAGTTCTGTAGCTTAGGGAGAGGGGTGGGGGCCACGGTTGTCCCTGCCAGGCTGGCTTCGTGACTTAGAGAGGGAAGGATCGAACCCCTGCCATCACTCAGGTAGCTAATTTGGCTCTGGGGGAGAAGTTCTTTTTCAGTTTGAAGTTGGGGTGGGGGTGGGGGAATGGGCCTGGCCAGGGGTGCAGTCCAGAAAGCCCAAGGGGAAATCAAACCCAACTGACAGCTAAAGCAGAGGTTTCAGAGCGTTCTATTGGCAGCCCCTCCCTTCCTTTCAATGCCTTTTCTTTTGATAAGCTTTTTTATTGGATCATAACATGCTTTCAGGAAAGTATACTTATAATAAGGGTATTACTTGATGAATTTTCACAAAATAAACTCACCCATGTAACTGCCACCCAGATAATAAGATAGAATTTTACCAGCAGCCGAGGTGCCCCACCCCACCCCACCCCACAGGTGACCACCGCCTTGACCTTGTAAAATTACAGATTAGTTCTGTGTGTTTTGAACGGGACATAAATGGAGCTGTAGAAGGTACATTTTTGTATCTGGTTTCTTTCTCTCCACACTTCACGACACTCACCCACACTGTGTGCAGCTCTAGTGGGCCTGTTTGATTGCTGTACAGAACTCTGATACAGAATTAACGAATATAAAGTGACTTACCCCTTGTGCTGATGGACATTTGGGTGGCTTCCTGATTCCGGCCACTAAGAATAGTGCTCCTGCAGACATCTTTGTGTGTATCCTTTGGTACAGGTGTGTTTGCATTTCTGTTGCGTAGCTACCGGGAGTGAAATTGCCAGGCGATAGAATTTTCACATGTTCAGCTCTAGTAGATGTGGCCAAACATCCAAAGTGATGCAGCACCTGCCGCCCCACCAGCGGAGTGTAGGGGTTCCAGGTGCTTCCATCTCACCGACACTCGGTGTGCTCAGTCGTCTTCATTTTAGCCATTCTTGTGGGAACGTGGTGGGGGATCTCACGGTGGTTTTGATTTGCATTTCCGTGACAGTCACTGAGCTTGAACACTTTTTTATGCATTTACTGGCCATTTGGACAGTCTCTTTTGTGAGGTGCCTGTTCAAATCTTTTGTCCATTTTTTTTTAAACTTTATTGGGGAGCAGTATGTTTTTCCAGGGCCCATCAGCTCCAAGTCAAGTAGTTGTTTCAATCTAGTTGTGGAGGGCGCAGCTCAGTGGCCCATGTGGGGATCGAACCGGCAACCTTGGTGTTATGAGCACTGCGCTCTAACCACCTGAGCTAACTGGCCGCCCCTTTTGTTTATTTTTTATTGGTGTCTTCCCCTGTGTGTTTGTGTTTGGGTAATTCTTCGTTTTACCTGAACTTCTCTTGATTTTCCCATTTTTTTCTGTACTGATCACTCCACATTCTTCCTAATTTTTTTTTTTAAGCTGAGCCATCCTGCCACCTGTTGGCAGCTCAACGGCTGCTCAGCTCGGGCCAGGAATTGAACCGCTATTGCTCAGAGTTCAAACTCTTGAGCGAGCTCTTAACCAACTGAGCCACTCGGCCGGCCCTTCTTCCTAATTTTTTAAAACTGCAACTTTAACCTCTAGTATAGTCAACTCCAGTTTTTTTTTTTTTAATGGAATTAGTTGTTAATAGTGAAAAATCAGGAGCTGGCCCATAAAATCCACATTGCTGCTGAGTAGTGGCTTCCCCTTTTGTCCACTTGTCACCACTCGTCCTGTCTGCTTCTTACCCAGCTGGCTCTTGGGGGGCGTAGGAATTTATGGTCCCGGTTTCATGTGTCTGCACCCACATACTTGGACAAGGGTCAGAGCTGGAGCCAGACATTTTTGGGTCAAACTGGGGCCCTGTAACTCACAAAGCTCTGTGACTTCGGGAGATCCGTTAGCCTTTCTGTGCCTCAGTTTATCTCTCAATCGGTTGTAAATGTTACGACCGGCTTCTTAAGAAAGTTGTGAGACTCAAGTGCGCTCAGGTTGGTCGGTGGCTGGGCTGTGGTAAGCATTCGCTGCATAGAACTGTTTGGTGCTCACTGAACTTTCCACGGGACTCGGAGATACTGCTCGGCCGAAAGCCTGTTATAAGCGTCTATCGTACTCTAAACACTGGTTCCCTCTGGGACAGAAACCAGGTCCCAGGTGAGGGAGACCCTCCCCACCTACCTTTTGTACCTTTGGATTTTGAACCGTGTGAGTGTGTTAAGTGCTCAAAAAGAAATAAAATGAAAGTTAACCAAGAAAATGTGTTTTACCTAGAAGGCTTCACGTTATCCAATAACTAAACTTGCTCTTGTGTCTTGTACCCCGTTCCCTCTCCCCTCCCACCTTCATCCCTCAGAGCCAACGAATGTGGAGCTGTTCGTGGATGGCGTCAGTGACATATGCACGAAGGGCGGGGACATCAACTTCGTGTTCACGGGCTTCTCTGTGAATGGAAAGGTTTGGCCTCAGAACTGTGGCTTTTTTTTTTTTTTTTTTTTTTTAGAACGGTGGCATTTTTAACATTTGCTCTGTGGCACACACCGAATCTTCTCTTACTTTAAAAAAAGCAAGACTTTTTCACCTGGGCGCTTTGATCCCACAAGGGACCCAACAGATAATCTTCAAAAGGGTCTGGGAACTCGAAATTGAGTGTAAGATGTAGTGGGTGTTTTTAGGGGTCAGATCTAGGCTGCTGGTCTTACCCCTGCACGAGCAGAGGCTGTTTGCGTGTAAGTGCCAGCGATGGCCTTTCATAGGGACAGCCTCCCAGGGGGGGATTTTTCCCCCTTCCACCCAGCACATTTCCTTGGCACCCTTTTCTGCATGGCCGGTTTACTTCTTCACCTTTACACTGAAAGTGAGGCCCTTGGGTCCCGACTTTACAAATGGGTTTCTTGTTAGAGAAGGATCAAGGGGTGTCTCCTCTTTCTCCATACTTTGGAAAAGAATGGTGCGTCTTTAACTGATGGTGTCATAGGTTTAGTGAATCAAGGTATTGTTTTACTGTTACTGTTCCCTCTCACAGCCCCTCCCCCCTCCCCGGGAAGGGTATCCATGCTCCCCATCACCTTTTCAAAGGGTTCTTGACCCAGCAAAGGTTAGAGGCCCCACGTGGGGAGCACAAGCAGGATCTGTCGGGGGGAGCCCTCAGCTGCTGGGCCGGGTCCTAACCTCCTTACCTCCTTCTCCATGGCAGGTTCTCAGCAAAGGGCAGCCCCTGGGCCCCGCTGGCGTTCAGGTGTCTCTGAGAAACACGGGGACCGAGGCGAAGATCCAGTCCACAGTCACACAGCCCGGTGGAAAGTGAGTTGTGCCTGGCTTGTCCCGCCTTGCAGCTCAAGCGGGGCTGTGACACGGGCAGGGGGGGACTGTGGATCTTGGGAGGCCTGGGTTCAAATCCAGACTCGGCCTCTTAACTTTGGATCAGTTTATGCCGCACAGGACCTTGGGTTCCTCATCTGTGAAATGGGAGTCACTGGAGTAATTGCAGCTAATATTGATGGGATGATTAATTATGAGATGATGTCCATCAAGCACCTACTGTGGGGTCTGGCACATAGTAGGTCTTCATTTAATGGTTGGGATGGGCTCTGGAGCCTGCCAGCTGGTTTGAATCCTGGTTCTCCCATTTGCTAGTGGTTTGACCTTGGGCCAGTCACTTAATGCTGCTGGGCCTCTGTTTCCTCATTTATTAATGATTATCATGGAATCTACCTCCCAAGGTGTCGGGGAAGATTAGATGATAATATTAGTGTTTTAAACAGCCTGGCGTGCAATATGTGCTCAGTAACTGTTGACTCAATATAAGTTAGCTCCATTAGGATTAAAAAAAAATGATTTTATCACTATTAAATCAAAGTTGCTTTGTAGTTAGGACTGATGACTGACTAACCTTGTGAAGTCAAATTGAAAGCACTTATTTGATGGATTTATATGGTTGAGTTGTAAATGTTAACAGATATGCCTAGACTAATACCAGAACAGTTCCAACTGATAATTTTGAAAGCATTCACCTCATTACGAACTACTTCAATATGCAAAACTAAACTGCGAACAAGAAGTTGAGACTGAGTCTGTCAGTAAGTCATCCAAATTTTAAATGATGATTGTTGAAATTATTTTTCAGTTTTGAAATACCATTCACTTCTATTTAATCGATGCCTCTGCAACCCTGGTCTGTAGAAGGGATGTGGAGTTTTTCTTGCCTCCGGGCTAGTAATTTGCCGTTGACCTTGGTGGGAAAAGGGACTTGACCTTTCTGAATCTCTTTCATCGGTGTGACCTCAAACAATGATAGCAACTTGCCGAGCTGGGATACCATAAGCATGAAGCAGAGGCTCAGTCTCGCTCAGACCAACATCCAGTGGCAGTTTCAGTTTTTTGTAGCAAAGTGATTGCCGAGCCCTCTCCCGTTATTATACGCAACACTTGATATAATAAAATACCACCGCAGGAGAAGAAAATGAAGGCTTTCTGTCATTCATTTCACTAGAACCAACTCGCTGATTGTCGGGTGCCTGGCAAATTTAAAGGGTGAAATGTGCCAGAATCCTGGTGGTAGCGTTTCCAATCTCAGCTCGTCTCACCCTGGTCTTAGTCCGTCTGTAGCCACTTGGGTGATTTCATCGGCTTCTGGTTTCGTCACTGTTGCTTTGCACGAGAGCCCAGAGTGTCCTATTCGTTTCCGAGAACACATCCAAACGCTTTTGCGTGGAACTCAAAGCTTGTTATCATTTGCCCTCCTGTGTCTAATTAGTGTCACCTTCATTCGCATCCGCCTCAGCCTGTCAGATCTGGTGTCTGTTCTTTGCATGTGACTCTGCGCTTCTCATTGAGGTGCTTTTGGACACAACACTGCCATCTCCTTGCCTCCTTGTGCCTGTCACTTCTGTCAGAGCTCACTTGCCTGTTCTGTGACTGATCCCTGCCAAACCACAGTGCTGGATTTCAGGCCAGAAATCCTTGGGGCTAAGTGATTCCTGGCAGCACGCGGAACACCTACCCTCGCACGCATTCAGTGCCCAGTAAGCACCGTCTGGTGTGGATGTGCGCAGGGAAGGACTGAATTTTGTTTATGCTCCTTTAACTAGCTAACAGCAAGCTTGTGGTGACTCGAACATTACTTTCTTGTGATTCCCAGTATTAGGCATAAAGTTAGACATACTTGGGTTGTTGGCAGAAAGTTAAGGGGTCTTTTGTATTTTTTAGGTTTGCATTTTTTAAAGTTCTTCCTGGAGATTACGAAATCCTTGCAACTCACCCAACCTGGGCATTGAAAGAGGTGAGCATTTCCGTTATGTGTGTTTTTTTTCAAACTTTACTGGGAAACAGTGTGTTTTTCCAGGACCCATCAGCTCCAAGTCAAGTCGTTGTCTTCAATTGAGTTGTGGAGGGCGCAGCTCACTGACCTATGTGGGGATCGAACCGGCAACCTTGGTGTTATGAGCCTGTGCTCTAACCACCTGAGCTCACCGGCCGCCCCTCTGTTATGTGTTTAGCCGTGCCAACCGTGTGCCGGTTTGGGGACAAATGCTGGGGTTTTCAATTCAGGATATGAAATGAGTTGATGGTTTTTCTGGAAGTAGATGAAAAAAAAAACAAAGGGGCTGCTGCTGGGGTTGGCGGTATTTATAAGGTGAAACTCCCTCACTTAGCAGATGTTGCTTATGTTGCTTTCAGTTTTCATTGAAAATATCTTCTTCCTGCTGTGAAATAGGTCTGTTATTAACTGTGGCTATTTTAAGCTTACATCAACACCAGAAGGACCTGATTTATTGGTTCTTGGGTTTTTTTTCCAGCCTGAAACAGCAGTTTTAAATACGCTTAACATTCTAGAAACTGTTGTATGTGTGCTCAAGGAAGATGTGTAAGAATGCTTACTGCAGCTTTGTTTGTAATAGCGAAATGTTGTAAAAACCTCAGTGTACGTTAAGAGGAGGGTGCAATTGTGTACGTCAGCAATACTGAATGAACCAGAGCAATATGAATACATTTAAAAACATAAGTTGAAGGAAAAGGGCCAGTTGCCGAAGGATAAGGAAACATGATGCCATTTATATAGCAACAGAAACACTCATGATACTAATTATGGATACCTTCATATGTAGAAAAACTGTAAAGCTGTGCGTGGGAATGCCAAACCCCGTGTTACTTACCATACTGATGTCTGTAGAGGGAGGAGGAAGGGGTTGCACAAGGGTCGTGAATTGTATGGTTACGCTTTTATTTCTTTAGAGTGTGATGGGTGTTCTTTAGAGTATTTCTTTATCTTTTTGTTTGATTGAGATCGTGTATAGTAAAAAATTAAACAAGGAAGAAACATACCAGGCGAATATGGTATGTTTCTTGTAATTGTGGAAAAACAAATTGAAATAAGACTTCAAAAGCATTTCGACGTGCTAGGTTTTACATTCGTTTTGAGGCTGTGTCTCATTCTTGCCCAAGAAGCATCGGAATCAGTATTCCGGTTTCTACTCTGAGGGTTTTACGCGTTTATAATCGATGGTCTGGTTTCAGCCGAGATGTATCTGGATACCGTTTATAATTTTACATTCTTAGGGTTTTGCAAATGTCTTATTGAAAACTCAATGGCTTACCTACTATAAATAGAATACATTGTAAGGCTTCCCTTGTTTGTTAATTGTGTGCATAATTAATTGTATGCATAAAGGAATTTGAGTTTATTAACATAAAATTGTGTTTCAGAGTAAAGCGTGCTGTTAAAAGTTGGGGTGATGGGTGCCCCTTGGGGGGGGTAGTGACTGGAAATGAACGTGCATGGGGCTTCTGGGGTACTGGTTCTTTGCTGTTTCTGGCACTATTTGCATAATGTGTTCAATTTGTGAAAATGACTGCACTGGACACGTAGACTATGTGAACTTTCCTTAAATTGCCCTTGAACAAAAAGTTTAAAAATATTTGCATCTATACCATTAACCATGGAAAAACAGCAAGGCATGCTCATTTTTAAAAATTAGATCATAGAGAAGAGCATGAAGGAGTGCAAACGGAGTTCGAAAATTTGGAAGGTGGAAAAGTATAAAAGACGTAACATGTCACCCTATAGATGAAATTGTCATTATCCACATTTTGCTGCGTTTCCTTTCACTTCATTTTGTGCGTTAAAAAATAGCTGCGATCATACTACATAGGCGATTTTGTGTGTCACTTTTTTCCCCAGTGAGTATTGTAGCTTCAGCACGCCCCCATGTTGTTAAACACTTGGTGAGTGTTTATTTTTTTGAAGTTAACATCTTCTCTTATAGGCGAGCACCAGCGTGCGCGTGACCAACTCCAATGCCAACGCCGCCAGTCCCCTGATCGTGGCTGGCTATAACGTGTCCGGCTCAGTCCGCAGTGATGGGGAGCCCATGAAAGGGGTGAAGTTTCTTCTCTTTTCTTCTTTAATCACCAAAGAGGTGAGCCAAGAAAAGTGAAGAACAAAAGAAACTGAGGACTCGACTGTTTAAAATGCAGGTCGAGGTTGATTTATAGTCTCGACACCTAAGACCATTGTGTTTCTTGTTTGACTCACAAGAACTTGAATGTCTACATTGCGAGGTGGTGGAGGTTGGTAGAAAGCACAGGCTTTGAAATCACTCAGACCCAGGTTCAGACAAATCCCGGCTCTGCCTCTTATCGGCCGTGTGACCTTGGGCCAGTCCCTGCACCTCCCTGAGCTCCATTTTCTTATCTGGGGAGCGGTGACCCATTATAGAAAAGGACAATCATGTCATTTTTTCCCCCAAGAAGACTGTGCCCTTTTCAACTGGAAATCAAAGATTTTTGTTCCTTTTTTCTCTGCTGTGTCCTAGATTTCATAAACACGTTTTGTGACATACAACTTATACAAGTTTTCCAGTAGCGTGGCTATTTGATGATAATATCAGAACATGTAAGTGGAAAAGGAAGTCATTTTGTTTTTTTGTTCTTTTTTTCCCCCGGCATAGGACGTTCTAGGCTGTAACATCTCCCCAGTGCCCGGCTTCCAGCCCCAAGACAAGAGCCTGGTGTATTTGTGCCACGCGGTCTCCAAGGAAGATGGCTCGTTTTCCTTTCGTTCCTTGCCAAGTGGGGCCTATACTGTGGTGAGTGAAACAGTTTCCGTTCTCTTTGTATTCGGGACTCTTCTGATGCAGGATGCGTCGATGCCATTGAAGTGGTAAGAACGAAATGATTGGCCTGCGGTTCTGTGAACATTTTGTTGAGCAGTTACTTAGGATAAGACTGACTCCTCAGGAGTGGCTGCAGCAGTGCAAGCCTTCCTCTTTTAAAACCAGCAACGCTTATGATTCGTAGTTTCTCTTGGGCTGCCCTGAACCCCTGGCCATTTGTGGGCTGCCGGATCAATGATTAGTATTGATGGTTGAGCCCTGTTATTGGCACTTAGTAATGAGCGGACTGTCCCTCCCAGGTCCCATTCTACAGAGGGGAGAGGATCACTTTTGACGTCGCTCCTTCCAGACTTGACTTTACAGTGGAACACGACAGCCTGAAAATTGAGGTAAGAACTTGTCCTCGGGAGGGACAGGTGTTCGGATTCCCATCCCTCGGCACAGGTGTTGCAAACATGTTTTTAAAAAAACAAGCAGAGTTTTTATCTAGAAGGGCTGTTGGGAAAACAGAATCATGTAATGTCTCCCAGATTAGCCTGGAACCCACTAGATACCTCACCTCTCTTACACAATGTCTTCATCTTAGAGAACTGGAGCCCTAGTTCTATCCACTTCATTCAATGAAATACGTTTATTGAGTGTCAGTGAGATGTTTCAGGTAGTCACCTAGGGGTGCACGTACAGCAGTGAACAGAAAGAGGCAAAAATTCCTCTTCTTGTGGAACTCAGGTTCTAATGGCAGAAAGAGACGATACACTTAAAAATAAGTAGATTAGAAAGTATATTAGAAAGTGTTACGTGTTCTCTGGAAAAATAAAGCAAGAAAGAAGAGACACAGTTTCAAGGTTGAGACTGGAAGTCCTCTTTGGGAAGGTGACATTTGAGCAACAGCATGAAAGGCAAGAGGCAGTAAACTACTTCAGTCTGCGGGAAGGGTGTTTAAGACAGAGGGAATGGCAAGTACCAAGGCCCTGAGGCAGGAGTGTGCCTAGATGGTTTAGGGGACCCCAGGAGGCCAGGGTCGCTGGAATGGAGGGCGTGAGGAAGGGAAGATGAGGAGAGACTATCAGAGATGATTGGGCATGGCCTGGTTGGCCACTGGGTGACAGTTGGCAGCACCCTGGGTGAGGTTCTGAGCAGAGGACAGGCGTGAGCCCTCTGGCTGGCAAGTTGAGAAGAGTTCCCAGGGGGCAGGGTGGAAGGGAGGGACCAATTAGGAGGCAGTGGCGGTAAACCAGGTGAGAGCTGACAGAGCTTGGACCATGGTGATAGGGATGGATGGGATGATAGGCATTCTGAGAAACCTGCTAGACCCTAAAATAGATGGATGGTACATGTGTTTTTTTTCACAGTTACATCCTTAATTACAGAAGCGGAAAATGGTTACTGTAGCAACTTTGCTAGATAGAGCAAATCCCAAAAGACAATAAGTCTTTCATAAATGGACCACCCGGTGTTACAGTTATTGAAAAAATGAGATTTTAATCATTTTCTTTTAATGTTACATTTGAAAGTGCTGGGTTAAAAGTACCCTAAATTAGTAGGAGCTAGCGTGTAGGTAATAAGCTCAGTGGGGTTCTGACTGTGCTTTGTAAGTTTCAGTAAAGCATTTGACTCTGGTGCTGTGGCCTGGGTTAGAGAATAGAAGGGTGAGAAGATGAAGTCCTTGCATGCCTCAGCGCCTGCAGAGAAGGAATGGGGGGAGGTGAGCGGGGACAGATTGCAGATCATGACCAAGTACAAGTTTTTAAACAGAGTGATGAATACAAGTTTTTAAACAGAGAGATGAACGGAATTTCTAGGAATGAGAGAGCCTGTAAGGTGCATGAGGTCAGTCTTATTCTTTACAGTAGTCCTAACATGTGCTTTAGTGCCTGGCACATAGTAGGTGCCTAATAAAAGTGTTTGTTGAGTGGATATTTGAATTCGTAAGTGGGTCCTCTTTTTGGAAGGATCAAGAAGGGCTACCTGAATAAAAAGGAAGCCATTTTATTTTTTTAAAGCTCTCTCAAATGCTGTGGCATAAATGCATTCATTCATTCATTCATTCATTCAGGAGTCATTTATTGAGTCCCTACAATATACCAGGTGCCTAAGACAAAAAAGGTTCCCTTCTTCATGGACCTTATATTCTAATGAGAGGTTGACAGACTATAAGGAATCAAACAAGGACACTTCAGATATTAGAGTGTTTTTTGATGAAGCTCATAAAATAGGTCAGTGTGATGGAGACTGACTGGCTGGGGCAGGAGGCAGGGATGACTGAGGGAAGGTTTCTTGGAGACGGCGACAGTTTGAAACCCGAATGATGAGAAGGAGCAGCTCCCTCCCAGATCCTCTCCAGATGTGGGAGAATATCCAGGCCAAGGGAGCAGCTGGTGTGAAAGCCCCACATGAGGCCTTCACGTGGCTCACGCATGTGGTCGGCTTGAGGAGCCAGGGACCAGGTGGCTGGAGCACAGTGACTGCAGAGAGCAAAGCCGTGGCATTTGCAGCGAGGAGGGCGGACACACATACCCAGTGGAAAGCTGCGGTCAGGAGCAGCTGGGTTGAGGGAGGTGGTCCATGCAGAGTTAATAAGGACGTGAACGCAGGTTGTGGAGGGAAGACCCCGGAGGAGGGCTCTGGAGACCTCGCTGGGGTGGAATCCACAGGACTGATGGATATTGAGGGTGTGGGAGGGAGGTCCAAGGTGATGCTGGGGTTAAAACTTGGGAGACCGGAGGACGGCCTGGCTCACCAAGGCGGGGGTGTCTGGAGGAGAAGAGGCAGGAAGGGAGCAAGGCTGGGCAGGCTCTCACCAGTGATCTTTAACTGGGGAAGCAAGCCTATAGATCTGTTGTATTCGATTATTTGACCAACATCAATGTATTGGGGATAGAAGAAAGAAGACGGACCCGGGAGACGTGCTTCCGGTGGGGGAAGCCCCGTGTGGGGGTGAACTGGGAGGGAGCCTGGCTGGCATACGGGCCTGGGAGGCGCCAGCATGGGCGGATGTGCCGAGGGAGGCTTTTGCCCATGAGAACCTTCCTTCTTCCTGTTCCTCACCTTCTAGCCCGTGTTCCACGTCATGGGATTCTCTGTCACCGGGCGGGTCCTAAACGGGCACGAAGGAGAAGGTGTTCCCGAGGCAGTGGTCACTCTCAACAACCAAATCAAAGGTGGGCAGACATGTTGGCGCCCGGGCTGTTTGCCAGGGCTAGCTCTTGATCCCAGAGAGAAGCAGAAAGGAAATAAAACCTCAGTGACTCCATGACAGTATGGCAGCCTTTTAAAAAAAGGATTTATTGTTTTCCGTTACAGTTGGCATGCGATATTATTTTACATTAATCTCAGGTGTACACCGTGGTGGCTGGATATTTATATAATGTGTGCAGTGATCCTCCCGATAACTCTAGCATCCACCTGGCACTATATACATAGTTGTGACATTATTGACTATATTCCTATGCCGTACTTTACATCGCATGACTACTGTGTAACTACCAATTTGTATTTCTTAATCCCTTTCCCTTTTTCACCCAGTTCCCCTACTCCCTGTCCCCTTTGAAAATTGGCCAGCTTTCTGTCTCTAGCATTCTTGCGTATATGGAGGGCGAAGCGGTTGTTTGGGGCTCATCTTTCGTTGGTTCGTTTCTGTTTACAGTCAAAACCAAAGCTGACGGCTCATTCCGCCTGGAGAACATAACGACTGGCACCTACACCATCCATGCGCAGAAAGAGCACCTCTACTTTGAAACGGTCACAATCAAAATTGCACCTAACACACCGCAGCTGGCCGACATCGTTGCCACGGGGTAAGGCTTTCGTGTTTGGGGCTGGAAGCGCCGGCGCCTTTCGGCAGCCAGTGGAGAACAAAGTCCCCTTCGATCTGACTGTTGCCGCCAGGGATCCACACTCGGTCTCAGACACCGATCGAGAAATTTGGGCTGATTCTTTAGGAAGATCAGGGCTACCGCATTTCCCCATGTATAAGACGCTCCCATGTATAAGACGCACCTTAATTTTGGGGCCTGAAATTTGAAAAAAAAAAGTATTACATCAAGTTATTGAACTCAAGTTTTATTCATCATAAAATTCATACAACTCCTCATCCCTGTCAAAACTCCCAACCATGAGTTTGTCCTCATCTGTGTCTGATGACGAATCACTGTCTTCATATATTGCCTTGTCCTCAGTTCCATCTATGGCATTTGAAATCTACAACCACTGTATAAGACGCACCCAGAGTTTAGACCCCAAAGTTTTCGAAAAAAGGGTACGTCTTATACATGGGGGACTACGGTAAGTCTTACCGACTGAAGGCACTTCTATGCTGGATGCTTACAGAAAACGACCTTGCTTTCAAGTTTAGATGGGTTTAAGTTAGAAAAAGACATTTTGTGTCAGACTTAACATCTGTGAGGCCTTTCCTGGAGTAATTCTGGAGGACTTTGGAAGATGGTTGGTTGAGAACGTTTGTTGTGAGACGCGTTGGGTCATTGTCATAATTCTTTCTGCTTTGCTGTACCTAATGTGAGGATGTGAGGGGACAGCCTGTGGTTGAATTTGTAGTCTTGTCACGTAGTGATGCCATGTAGGGCAAAGAACCCAGGTCTCGGAGTCAGATCTCGGCTCTTTCTCTCTCCTGTGTGTAACGTGTAGCATGGACTCTGCCATTTTTTTTTTTTGAGATGGCAGTCGGTGCCCACTGAACAGTGACTTGAGACGGGCAGGGTCGGCTTGGAGAAGAGGGGCAGCAGGACCAAGGGTGTGCCTCTCGAGCAGCTGGAGTGGATGGCAGCGTAAAGCTTGGTGTCGCCAGTGCATGAAGTGCCCAGGCAAAGGGCGAGGCTGGAGGGGCCCGTCTCAGAGGCCCCTTCACCCCTTGGAAGATGGGGGCGTTCTCTGCTAGGGGTCAAGGGGCCAGTGAATGATAAGGGCGCGGAGCGAGCATGGTTAGACTTTTATATTCAGTGAGGCCCTCTAGTGGCATGGTGGAGGGTGGCCTTGAGTGGGACAAGGCTTGGGCACAGGAGGCCTGAAAACAGTCGATGTGGGCTCGCCTTATAGGGAAGTCAAGGACAGATTGGAAGTGTATTTAGGGGTTCCCCTTTTGAGAGGCAGGATGGCTGCGGCGCCCACCGGCTGTGGGCAGGGAGGGGAGCCCCTTAAGGTATGAGGGTTCAGCTTTGAGGTCTGTGGGACCACTAGGTGGAGCTCTCCAACAGGTGCTTGGCTCAAGTGTAAACCTGGAAGATCTGGCTGCAGGTGGCAGCCAGAGGCTTGAATTTGTCGTTGCAGGTAGAATTGGGAGATCCGTAGACCAAAAATGGAATGCCGGTGCTTGAGGGGTGGCCTCGGGAACCTGGGGCGGTGGGTTTTGGGTATGAGGTGGTGCCCGACGGTCAGGGAGGTCCAGGGAGCTGAGCCCTGAAAGCACAGCCCAGCAGCTTGGGCACTGAGGAGGCTACAGTGATTACTTTCTGTGGACAGGTGGGGGTCAAGGTCGAGGGTCGGTGTCGAATGGGACATGAGGAAGCACATCGCCTGTGGAACCTGGTACCTTGTCTCTCGTGGTGGAGCCTCAGAAAATCACTTGGAAAAGCCTTCCCTCTTTCCCTTCATAAACATTTCCGAGCAGCGACTCTGGGCGAGGCACTGAGAAATGCTAGGTGTGTAACAGTGAAAAGAAACCTAATGTTAATAGAGATGGGGCTTTCATCCTACCGGGGAGACAGACTTAAGAGGAATAAATTCGTGATTGTAAATTACAGTAAGTCTCGTGCAGGGACGGGAGCGTGTGCTCTGACAGGACTTAGACTGGGAGCTGTGGAAGGTCTGTCTGCGTCGCTGAGACTCAGTTAGTTCCGTGAAGAGCCTCCCGGCAGGGGGAACAGCAAGCGTGTCCAAGGCCTGGAGGGGACGAGGCGCTCTCGGGAAGGCAGCCAGTGTGGCTGGAGGCAGTTGGTCCTGTGGGAGAGCTGTGCAACCTCATGGTGACCGGCTTTGCCCCCCAATACAGTGGAAAGCCGCTGAGTTTTCAGCAAGGGGTCAATATGGATCAGGGCATTTTAGAAAGATTTTTTTGTTCCTCCCCCGCCCCGGCTGCTGTGTGAAGAACGGGTCAGAGGGAAGCCAGAGTATAAATGGAGAGACAGCACAGGAGGCTGCGACAGTTGTCTGGGGGAGATGTGGCTGGGACCAGGGTGCTGGCAGGGGAGGGAGGGAGAAGTAGATGGATTTGGTAGGTGATATGGAGAGAGAGTCTAAAGGCCGTGTGCTGTGGGAGTCCCAGGTTTCTTATTTGAGCAACTGGGTAGATGGAGGAGGTGCCATTCATGCAGATGGGGAAATATATTTATATTGATTTCCTTTAAAATGGAATGTTTGGGTCAAAGTAAGAAAAATTACATTTGTTGAGTATCTTTGGACAAATCTATCATTTTTCTTTTGGGCCAACATAACACATTTGCCTTTTAATTTATTGCTATTTTTTACTTAAAAAATTTTTTCCCCACTTTTACAGAAGTCCAAATTACTATGAAAATACAGTTATCTCACAATGTACCAAAATTACCCATTTGTATTCATAAATTATTAAGTCCTGATGAAAGAATTAATTGACAAAAAGTAAATTTTTAAGGGCTTCAATATAAAAAAAAAAAAAAACAGTCTCCTACCAGCTTTTTAGTTTATTTTTCTAAACGAAACCAATATGCGTTTGAGGTTTGGGGTACCTGGGCACTTTTCTTTAATTGCGAATATGAGCTAAAACAGATCTTATGGTTCAAATATTTAAAGCGTACAGAGGCAAAGAGATTCAGCTTGGAACAAATAAGGTGACATTGCCCCTGATATGGACACGAGTCAGGGGCACATGAAAGGTCCTTAAGAATAATTCATCAGTATTTTTCTCTTCCTGTCCTTTTATTCCGAAAGTGCGAAGTAGGAGAATGTGAGAACCAAAAGTGCATCGTTTCATCTATATGGGGGGCTGTACACTTTTTCTGTAAAGGGTCAGAGAATACATATTCGCTGCTTCATGAGCTGTATGGTCTCTGTGACAAAACATGCCGTAGATCATTCTTAAATGAGTAGGCGTGGCTGTGGTCCAATAAAACTTATTTACAACATTGAAAGTTGAATTTTATATATATATATATTTTTTTAATTTTTTGGGGGAACAGCCATGGTCATTGGATACACATTGCTTTCATTGCTGCAATGGCATAGCTGACCTTTTATTTATTTATTTATTTTAAAGATTTAATTGGGGAAGGGGAACATTGTGTTTTTCTAGGACCCATTAGCTCCAAGTCAAAATCTTGTCCTTTAATCTTAGTTGTAGGTGGGCATAGCCCATCATTCCATGCAGGAGTCAAACTGGCAACTTTGTTGTTAAGAGCAGTGCTCTCACCAGCTGAGCCATCCTGCTGCCTGTTGGCAGCTCAGCAGCAGCTCAGCGTGGGCTCAGCTCACTGGCCCATGTGGGAATCGAACTGGTGACCTTGTTGCTCAGAGCTCGTGCTCTTAACCAACTCCACCATCTGGCCGGCCACTAGTTGATTCTTTTATAAGGAGGGCGCAGCTCACAGTGGCCCATGCTACTGAACTAACCAGTCAGCCCCTCATATAATTTTTAGGTGTCACGAAATATTCTTTGGGATTTATTTTCCTTTTAACCCTTTAAAAGTATGATAACAGAAGTGTGAAAACCATCTTCAGCTCAGGTTCATGCAAAAATAGGTGGTGGTTGGTGGTACTTGGCCCCACACTAGATTGTGAGCTCATGAGACTGGGCCAGTCACTTCACTCTAAAAAATGACTATGCTTTTCATCATTTTCAGATTTCACACGCACACTATTCCACCACCCTGTTGTTCCTTCTACTGTTTTTTATTTGCGGTGGAATGGGCGTTCCAGCATTTGGTGTACCCCGTAATTACCCAGTGTCGAATCTGACATTTTTTTATTACCTCTCTGTCAAAAGTAGCAAGTGATTTTTATCTAAAATGATTCTTTAAGATTAGAAAAGAGAACCTTTTGTCAGTTGGAGAAACAAGTGTGGCCTCCAGCTACGGTCCGATATTCCACTTTCACACGTCAACTGACTAAAACCTGCAGAGCATCACGCAGGATGATGTCTTTGTTGGTCCTTCTCAGGGGGTGGGCGTGCCTTTGCAGCACTTTCCATGCTGTGCGTGCCGTCTCTACTCTGCGTCATTACCTTGAAAGGGCTTGTCAGTAATCAGGTGCTTTTGGGGCTCCTAGCTCCTAACAAATTCAACTTGAGCTTTTTCTTTTTCTGTTTTTTTTTTTAAAGATTTAATTGGGGAGTTGGGGGAGGGAACAGCATTGGAGAATTGCGGAAGGGGAACAGACAAGTTGCTGTCCTTTTGTTCTTCAGCCTAGTTGTGGACGACATCACTTCACTGGCCCATGTTGGTATTATCATTGAGCTCTTCCTGGGTGAGGCAGTCGGTCGCCGGGCATTGGATGGACGCTTACAGTGGCTCACGGCAGCTGCTGGCTTCTCATGCTGGCTGCTGGCCACTCACAGTAGCTTATGGCATCCCACTGCAGCCTACGCCGTCGCCGGTGACTCACAACAGCCCAGCTCCAGGTTGAGCTGTTGTTCATCATCTTAGCTGTAGAGGGTGCTGCATCATTGGCTCATGTGGGATCCGAACCGACAGCCCTGTTGCTCAGAGCTTACGCTCCCAAGCCAACTCTTTACCAATGAGCCACTCGGTCGGCCCAACTTGAGCTTTTCCTAACTTGACCCTTTCACTGCGTTAATTGATTTCAAGTTTTTTTCCCCCAAATGTGTCAAAAATCCAAAAATATAAAAAGTTGATATTTTGACTATTTTATGCATTTAATAATAACATTTTGAGCTGCTTTTTTACATAAATGACATTATTTTTATTTTTAACCTTTCTTTTGTGGTAATAAATTTGCCAGTATATTGCATTTTAGCAAAACATACTCAAAACATACTAAATGGCATCAATTAGATTTAAGTATAGATAAGTTAGACTCTAATGGCATTGATGACATAAAAAAATTATTACAAAATGTTACACAATATGGTATACAAAACATCTTTGTTGTGGGTAGTGCAAGCTACAGGAAAACATATCCGAATGTCGCAGCAAAAGTGTTAATTCCCTTTTCTGTTCAGATCTCTCAGATTGCTCTTATCCATGCATTATACATAATCATGGGTGAGGAAGGCATCTGATAACCTTGCTTTGTTTTATTGCCTGGGTAATGCCGCAGTTGTTTTTAAGGACTAGCCAGCATTCTCAGTCTATGGCTACTCCACTGTCAGGGATTCAGTTACCTGAAACATTTTTATCATCTGCAGATCTTCTGAAAGTTGCTTTCTCAGTGGGGATTGCCAGATGTCACCTGGAACGCACACACACACACACACAGCCCTGCGCTGGGCCCCCGCTCTGACTTGTCCCTTATTCCGAAAGAGGTCCAGCCTTCTTTTTGAAGGTTGCTTTTAAAACTGAAGTCATTTGGGCTGCCTTCATGTCTCTTTATTAAGATTAAACTAGTCTCAGGGACGACAGCTGGAAGATGGACGCGTAATTTCAGCTGATAAGTGCCTTTCCTGATATTAATTGACTTCTCATGCTGGCACGAATGGTCCCCTCGCTGCAGGTTCAGCGTGTGTGGCCAGATATCGATCCTTCGCTTCCCGGACACTGTCAAGCAGATGAGTAAATACAAAGTTGTCCTCTCATCTCAGGACAAGGACAAGTCTTTGGTCACTGTGGAGACGGATGCTCACGGATCATTTTGTTTCAAAGCAAAACCAGGGACCTTCAAAGTCCAGGTATGATGAGTTTTGTTCTATTTAAGATATTTGAGAACAAGCAGTGGTTTTTAAAAGGGTTCTTACTAGCCCGGATGGGTTTGAGGAGAGCATTTCCGTTCCCAACTTCTTACTTTGAAACCTTCACATTCCTGCATGTCACAGTTAGGGGAGTACACAGACAACCAGTTTAAAAATGATGCAACGGGCCCTTATCCAGTCGTGATGTTTATTGGGGCTTAGTATCCGGCTGCCAGTCGTGCCTCCACCTTCTCAGGCTTCTGGCTGCTGTAGAATGTCCACGAGTCCCAAAGGAGATCAAAATGAACTCTATTAATGGCTGCTCAGTAACTTCCGCAGTGCATGGCTCCTGGAACCCGAGGCCAGCCTGGAGCTCCCCTTTCCTGCCTCGCCCTGAATGGAAGATGCCAGGCAGGCACCCTCTGATTGCTCCATCCAGGCAGGTAGAGGCTGGGAGACCCTGGTCTTACCGCAATGAAGTTCTGAGCACAGCTGGGGACCAGCAGGCAAGAGACGAGACAGAGCCAGAGGTCAGCCCGCCATGCTTTTCAGAGCAGCGAACAAGCCCACGGGGAAACCCTGTGTCCCACTGGCTCTCAGGCTTGTACCCACCAAGCCAGCCACTGCTCCCCCTCCCTGAGGAAGAGCAAGTGAGGGAATGGAGGGCCTGGAATGTTCTTCTAAGACTTGATGTCCTCTAGGGCAAGTGGGATCCTTCTCTCTGAGGGGGTGGGATTGGAGGACAGCAGTCTCCCTGCTTCCACTGAACAGTGAGGCATGTGGGTTGGCAGCCCCTTTGCTAGCCAGCCAGCTGCTGCTTAAGTTGGCCACAGTGACGCCATTGGAAGTCCTTTTGGAAGCGTGATAAGGGACTTATCCAAGGAAGGGCAATTCCGGCCTGTAATCTTCACTAGGCATGAAATAGGTGACCACCAGCCCCTCCCCCAGTACCTGCTGGCAGCCTGAGAAAGGCCTTCAGAGGGAAGGAAGAAGAAAATGACCTAATTCCATTCATGGGCACCCACACAGCGTCGACGAGTTCATAGCTTGTGTCATGAGTGACCTCAGCCAGGAGAGTGTCCTGGGATTTAGTATGGAACCCGCCCAGTGTACAGGTGATGGATGATAGCTCGCGTGTCTCTGGGGACAGGTTGGCCCGACACGCTTTTGTGCACACCATAGCGCTGAAGACGAGTTTTTTTTATGTCTGATTAGAAATGTGTTTTCTTCAGACAGGCAGTTTGCAGATTTGTTGGGAGCATAAGACTCAGCCTAGAAGTGTCCCTCGGTCCTTCGAAATCCCTTTAGCCTTGGGCCAGGTGAATGTCCTGATGTCCTGGGGCCAGGGGAGCAGCGGTCCTGATGCCACGCTGACCTTGTCCCGTGTCCCTGCAGGTGATGGTCCCCGAGGCAGAGACCAGAGCGGGCCTGACGCTGAAACCCCAGACTTTCCCTCTCGTTGTGAAGGACAGGCCCGTGATGGACGTGGCCTTTGTACAGTTTCTGGCATCCATTTCTGGGAAAGTCTCTTGTTTGGGTAAGATGTCAATGGAAAGCAAGAACCCGTCATTTCAAAGAAGGAGGCGGGTGGAGGTGGGGTTCAGGTAAGCTTTTCCTCGCTGGGCAGCATTGGGGACGAACTGTTTCTAGGCAGTGGCTTTGGAGAGTTTGTGTCGCGGCCAGGTCTCTCCGAAAAATTGCCACAGTAAGCCGCCAGAAACTCCATGTTCCTTGAAGTATTTCTGCTTGGTCTCCCAAAAGAACACGTGGGTCTCTTTCTCCCTTCTGACTATGAAAGGAAGGCGGCATGAGCTCAGGGTTCAATCCCAGCTCTGTCACTTGCCAGGCGTGAGACTGTAAGCATTTACTTGCCCAGCCTCAGTTTTACTTCTGTAAAATGGGAACAGTACTGCTTTCAGAGGGTTTTAATGAAGCTTAAATGTGGTCATGTCAGGAGGCAGTGGAGCACAATGACTACATAGGCTCTTGAACCAGCTTATATGGGATTGAACCTTCACTGTGTGACCTGGGCCATGTTACTTAACCTCTCTGTGCTTTGAGTCCCTCATTTGTAATATGGAGATGGTAATCCCTGCATCCTAGGGCTGTTGTGAGGACCACATGAGTTAAGGTATGTATAGCCTTTAGCAGTACCTGGAACGCAGCAAGAGCCATTTAAATCTTTGCTGTTGTTATTATTATAATAAAGGGCCCAGTTCTATGCCTGGTATAAAGGGGGCATTCAATAAAGTTTCGTCACCTTTCTCTTTTTTTATCTCTGGGCCCTGTAGGTGTTCCATAGATATTACTTCTGCCGTTTCAGTAAACGGTGGAGCCGCTTGGATCGTTGGTGGCTTCCTTGCTGGGTACCGATGACCTTCAGAGAGGGCACTTGTTAGCATCGAGTAGCTGCACATTAGCTTTAAAGGAACCCTCCCGGCACTGCCATGCAGGAGATAAACATAGCAGGCAGCATGCAGAGGTCAAGGGCTCGGACATGCTGAGTTCAGGAGGGCGGTCACATGAGGCCTTCCCATCTTGTCTCTGCAGACACCTGTGGTGACCTGCTGGTGACCCTCCAGTCCCTGAGCCGCCAGGGCGAGAAGCGGAGCCTGCAGCTCTCCGGCAAGGTCAACTCGATGACGTTCACGTTTGACAGTGTGCTCCCAGGAAAATACAAAAGTAAGAGCCGGAGGCAGCCCCTTGGGGCCCTCACACACTTCCTGTTTTTTCCTTACGTTCTGAAACCAACTCTCAGATTTCGCTCCCGCCGTCCACCTTTACTTGCCTGACTCATCTTTGCCCCTTGTCCTTGAACTTGCATCAGCTCGCCATGGGAGGTAATGCAGGCGTCGAGGCTCTGTGAACCTCATCAGGGCTACCCACACACTTCCCTTTTGGGAGGGTGCCCTTATTTATGCCATTTTATGTGTAAATGCTGGAAAAGAGAGTGTGAAATTATACATTATGTGTTCCACCACTTAGCAGTGTGTGACAATCGTGGCAGTCCCCGAGGCTCAGCTTCCTTGTCTGCAAGAGGAGTAATAGACTTCCTGCAGAATGTAAGACTAAATGGAACAGTGGGTAAAGCCCTTGCCCAGTGCCTGGTAAGCAGTCGGTGGTGGCAAACGCCGGTCCTCTGTGCCCTGCCTTTCTCGAGAAGCCACCCGTTGCCTGTACCTCCTCTCCTTCACAGCTCAGCTTGGAGCTGCTGGCAGTGGATAGCTTATAAAGCAGACTGCTTTTTCAGGGGAATTACATGTTCTGTTATGTCAGGTGTTGGCAAACTGTGGCCTGGGTTCATAAATTAAGTTTTATTGGAACACACCCTTGCACATTTGTTTATGTATTGTCTATGGCTGCTTGTATGCTGTAAGCACAGAGCTGAATAATTGAGACTGTGTGGCCTACGATGTTGAAAAAATCTAGTCTGTCTTGTTACAGAAAGAGTTTGCTGATCCCTGAATATCTTACTTGTAGCCTGATCTTTAGGCACAATTGAATTTCTTTCTTGGTGATTTTAATGGCCTTTGGTTTGTTTTTCTTTAGCAGTTACTTTTCCCCAGCATTGCTAGCAAAATACACACACACACACACACACACACACACACACACACACGGTGCCAAAAAAATGTATATACATTTTAATAAAGGAAAAAAACGGTATTAAAATTAATACTCAATATATACTGATAACAAAAGATGAATACAAGTCACATTTGACTTCTGCAATTACAAGAGGTGCTCAAAGTGGTTACCATCAGTATAATTTTAATACGATTTTTTTCCTTTCTTAAAATGTGTGTACATTTTTTTGGCACCCTCTGTGTGTATACACACACACACTTTAAAAACAATTAGTGAATTTGTTGGACCTTCTTCCTAGTGGCCTCGGGGAGGTGGTACACTCTATCCCCACGCAACTCTGTCTGTGTTATGTGCTTTTCCAGTCAGCATCACGCATGAAGATTGGTGCTGGAGGAACAAGAGTCTGGAGGTGGAAGTTCTGGAAGAAGACGTGTCAGCGATTGAGTTTAGGCAGACGGGCTACATGCTGAGATGTTCCCTCTCTCACGCCATCACGCTGGTATGCATGGCTTCTGACGTCCGTCTGTCCGGAAGGGCGCTGGCCTTTCTGAAAGCAGGAAGGACTAGCGTGCCCAGCTGGTTATAACCATGGTTGAGTCAGATTTCCTTCCCTGCCCCTCCGCTCAGCCACCTGTTACGGAAAGCACCACCAGGAAGCATTTCAAACCCCTCAGTGGAACATGCCTTTATTTGAGAGATTTCCTGGCCCCGCACTAAATTCTAACTTTGCTGATTTGGGGAAACCATCGACATCGTACAAAGGGCAGTGATTTTATAGCCTTGGGCAAGTTCATTTAATGTTTCTGAACCTCAGGTTTCTTCTCTAAAATTAGGATCTTGTTATCTACTTCTCAGGGTTATAGTGAGGTTTTTGGTTTTGTTTTTAAATTTTTATTGGGCAACAGTGTGTTTTTAGGACCCATCAGCTCCAAGTCAAGTACTTGTTTCTTTTTTTTTTTTTTTCCCTAAAGATTTTTTGGGGGAATTGGGGGAGGGGAACAGACAAGTTGCTGTCCTTTTGTTCTTCAGTCTAGTTGTGGAGGACATCGCTTCACTGGCCCATGTTGGTGTTATCATTGCGCTCTTCCCGGGAGAGGCAGTTGGCTCGCCGGCCCCTGGACGGCTGCTCACGAAAGCTCACGCCAGCTGCCGGCCAGTCCCACTGCAGCCTACACCATCACCGGCAACTCATGACAGCCCAGCTCCAGGTCGAGCTGTTGTTCACCATCTTAGCTGTAGAGGACGCAGCGTCACTGGCCCTCATGTGGGATCTGAACCGGGGCCCTGCTGCTCAGAGCTGGCATCCCAAGCCAACTCTTAACCAACGTGCCACTCGGCCGGCCCAAGTACTTGTTTCAATCTAGTTGTGGAGGTGCATCTCAGTGGCCCATGTGGGAATTGAACCGGCAACCTTGGTGTTATGATTCTGCTCTGTATCCAACTAAGCTAACTGGTCGCCCCTATGGTGAGGTTTAAGTGAGGCTCTTAAGTATTTAAAATTTCCTTGGCAGATGCTGCTATTATTTCACAGGTGCAGCTGAGTCGGTTTCCCCAGGAGACTGGTTGTGGTGCGGAGGGCAGAGCTGTTAGGCAGGGTCTTACTCTCTTGCTGATGGGGTCCTTGTGGCCTGAGAGACGTGCGCCATGTGGGTTTCAGGAGAGGGAACCCCTGTGCAGTTCCATTTTTATATAAATGTTTACTTCCGGCCATGGTAAATGTCATTGTCAGGTGCTAGTGGAGAAACGGAGGCAGGTGGCAATTAAGTGACTACTTGTGTTAGACGCTGGTGGGATTGAAACTGGTGTTTTCAATGCCAGCCTCTGCTCTGTTGAACGACAAATGCTAAACAAACAGCATTGTTCCCGGAGATGGGTTAATTAATATCCAGTTGAGAACGAGGGATAGGCGTTTAGGAAACCCGTTCTTTCCCTTAAATGTTCCAATGCATTTCCATTTCCCTTCACGTAACATCCACGTTCCTGAACGATGGCTGGCAAGGCCCTTCTGTCTCTCCCACCCTGCCTCCTACTCCTCCACCTCACTCACCGGGCCCCAGCACCCCAGCCTCCTCCAGCTCCGCACCAAGCTCAGTCCCTCCCCTGGGCCTTTGCACGTGCTCTCCCTTTGCCAGGAATGCAATACCTTTTCCAGAGATGCGTGTAGTTGGCTTTTCATCATTCAGGCTGCAGCCCCAATGTTCCCTGCTCACGAGAGGCCTGCCCTGAGACCAGCAAGCTAAAGACACCTCTGCGGTGATCACCCCATATCCTGGCCCCCTGTTTACATTCCTCAGATCTCTGCTGCTGACTGGTGAAACCCACTAATTGTCGACCGCATTGATTTTTCTGTCTTCCCACATTAGAATATAAGCCCCCCTGAGAACAGGAACCTTGTCGGCAACCATGGCCCCGTGCTGGGCCCATCCCATAGCAGGTGCTCAATAAATATTAGTCGACTGAATGAAAAAGAGCACATTTTGGTTGCAAGTTTTTGGAGGATTTTAATTTTCCTGTGGCACCCAAATGCTCAAATGATTAATGGGCAAAACAGATGACTGGTTCAGAAACAGAAATATTATTAATCATCCTGCGTCGCCATCTCCCCCAGTAAGTCATTGTATTGACTTTGGTCCCTTAGGAATTTTATCAGGATGGAAATGGACCTGAGAACGTGGGGATTTATAACCTTTCCAAAGGAGTCAACCGCTTCTGCCTGTCCAAGCCTGGTGAGTCTGGGAGGATGGATGGACGTGCTGTGCATTAGGGAGAAGGAAGGGCACGAGAGGATGGTTTTAAAGGCATTTTTTTCCTGACCTCGGTTCTTTTAGCATCAAGCTATCAATTTTGGTTGCAGTTATCGTACGCTTGTTTTTCTCTCTCTTTCCTCTGGAGGGAGCAGTGTTTTTACCCAAACAATTAGAGCTGGAGATTGGCAAGGGTCTTGGTTTTCAGTTGGGTAGAGAGACCGACCCCTGTGGCCTGAAACTTTCAATTTTATTTATTCATTTAAAAATTACAGTTGACATGTAATATTAGTTTTAAGGGTACAACATAATGATTAGACTCTTTCACTTTAAAAAAAGTACACTATTGTCCAATGATTTCTCTGTAAGAGTGATCTTTTTAAAATAAAAAATGGGTCATCTCTCACCTTGGTTAAATATTTTGGTGGCTTCTCTCTCTTTTAACAACTTTATCGAGATGCAATTTGCAGACCATAAAATTCACCTATTTGAAATGTACAGTGCATCAATTTTTAGTAAATTTACCAAGTGGCACAATCATCACGTAATCCAGTGTAGAACATTTTTCTTACCCCAGTAATATCCTTCATGCATATTTATAGTTAATCTCCCTTCCCAGCCCCGTGCAGCCACTAGTCTATTTTTTTGTCCTTATGGGTTTGCCTTTTTTTGGACGTTTCCTATAAAGGAAATCATGCAATACTTGTATTTTGCCTGGGTCCTTTGATTTAGCATGTTTTTGAAATTCATAATGTTTTGAAGTTTGAATGTAGTAGGTATCAGTGGTTTGTTTCTTTTTATTACTGAATAGTATTCCATTGTATTTTTATATTATATTGTGTGTTTGCATTTACCAGTTGATGGGTACTTTTAGTTTTTGGCTATTATGAATAATGTTGTCATGAACATTTGTGTATAAGTCTTGGTATGGACATCTATTTTCATTTTTTGGGGGGTAAACACCTAGGAATAGAATTGCTAGATCATATGGTAAATTTATGTTTAATTTTTTTAAGAAACAGCCCAATTGTTTCCTGAAGAGGCTGTATGTACCATTTCATATTCCCACCAGCAATGCACGAGGGTTCCTATTTTTCTACATCTTCACCAGCATTTGTTATTGTCAAGTGTTTTTGACTTTGGAGTGTAAAGTGGTATCTCATTGTGGTTTTAATTTGCATTTTCCTAATGAATAATTCAGGGACTTCTCTTGGTTCTCAAGATAAAATACAAAATCCTTAACCTGACCTTGAGCTCCTGTATATAATCTATCCCTGTCTGCCTTTCTCTCTGCTCCAGTCCCTCTGTCCTTCTGTGTTTCAGTTAGGATGTGTTTGGCTGCACGTGACAAAATCTGTAGAACAATGCCATCGAGAAGTAGTGGTTAATTTGGCTCAGTAGCAAAGTCTGGCAGCATCTGGCTACAAGCGTGGGTTCAGCAGCTGGTAGATGTTTCTTTACGATTCTCTTGCTCCTTCCCTTGTATTGTTTACCTTATGTTATCAAGAAGGCCACCCTTGCCTCCCCAAACTTGTTATGTTTAAGTCAGGAGGACCAGGAGAGGGGCCGGCAACTGTTTTCTGTGCCTTCTCCTCCAGTAAACTTCTTTTATGTCTTATTGGCCAGAACTGTGTCACATGGTCGCTTCTAGCTGCAAGGGAGGCGGGGACAGTTGGCTGTGTTGCCCAGGCTGAACACATTGCCATTTTAAACATAACCCTGGATCTGATAGCGAGGAAGGAAGGACAGCTGTTGGGGAAGCAAGTAGCGAGCCTGTGGTTCAGATACTGTTCTGTGCCTGAGTCCTCTCCCTCACGCCCCCTCCTCACCCAGCTGTGCCTCCTACGTGTTACTTCCTGGTTCAAGTATTACTTCCCCAGGGGAGGTTGGCTCTCCTGTGTCAGTTAGATCTCCCTGTTATGCTCTTGCTCACAGCACTCAGTTCATTGCTTGTACTGCACTGAACACAGCTGGTCTGCTTGTGGCTGTGAGAGGTCTCTCTCTCTCTCTCTCTCTCTCTCTCTCTCTCTCTCTCTCTCTCTCTCTCTCTCTCTTTCTCTGTAGACAGTAATCCCCATGGTGGCAGGGGCTGTGTCTGTTTTGTTCCCCATTATGTACCAATACCTAGCACAATACCTGGCTTGTAGTAGGTGCCGGTGCTCTGTTAATATTTGTGAAAAGAACAAAACGAATGGAGATACCTCATCATTTTTTCTACCAGTAGCTACTGGGCCTACTCAGTTGATGAAAACGGCAGAGGTTGGGGGTTTGTAGGAAGTATGGGCAGAATGTTGGCTCTTGTCCTTTGGAGGAATACGTTGGTAGACTTCGCTCCATCCTGAAATTGACCATCTGCCTCTAGCAAACGATGACCTGTGCCCCTAATGGAGTGTTTCCCTGCATAATCTCATGGTAGGAAACTGTTTTCTGTGATTGTTTCATATTTTCTGGGCCTTCCCCTGCTCCGTGCCCCTTGTTGGGAATATTTATAGGAATTTTAGGCTGTGATTACCTTTTAGATCTGTAATAGAATCTTTAAGTAGAAACCTCTTGGTGTGAGTTGCGGTAGAATGTACTTCCTGTTTCTTCTCCTGAAAGTATCTGTTAGCTTGGTCTGGGCGGATCACACGACCATGTGAGTTGCTGAATTCTGGAAATGAAAACCCTGAGCTTGTGAGTGGGCCATTGAATGGATTGGGTCACGGGGGAGACACCGTCATGGGCGGCAGAAAAGGCGTTTCTGGTCCCGTTGTCGCATATCCTCTGGTGTCCTGTGGGTCTTCAGGTGACATGATGCCTTTGCATTTCAAATGCTGCAATTGCTTCGCGTTAACAGACACTCTTCTCTGAGAATTTCTTTTGCTTTCCTGGCTGCAGGCGTGTACAAGGTGACCCCACGATCCTGCCACCGGTTCGAGCAAGCGTTCTACACCTATGACACGTAAGCGGGGTGTTCACTGCTTTCTGGTGCCTGCGTGCCTTCCGTGGGGAGTGCGCGTGCCTCTCTCCCGCCATTTCTGAGAGCAGAAGGAATTTCTTGTGTGTTTTCTGGAAGAGGTCAGGGTAGGCATTAAAAAGAGTTTCTAGATTAGGGTTTTAAGACACTTGGGTAAGTTATTGAGGAAATGGAGATAAGATCCCTTTCTGTAAAATTCTGTAAACCCAGGACAGAAGGCTGTGGTTTTGACATTTCCTAAATATGATCTTTGGTAAATCTTCCTCCAGCCCTCACTGATGGGAATTCTCAGGCTCAAGGCCACCGTTTTTCTATGTTTGCAAATGCTTGTGGGTTTCACTGGGAATTGGCAGTGTAATGTTTTGGAGTGGAGAATTAGTTTATGTTTTGAAAAAAACACTGTTATGTATTTCAGGAGTGATTTCATCCCAAACTAAGATCAATTTCATGTAGTATATTTCAGGGTCAGGAAGGTTACCCATAAAGAGAGTTGCTTTTGATCCTTTGAGAATGACTAGGTGATATTGCCAGTGTTTTCTTTCCACTTCTTTGATTTATAGGTCTTCACCCAGTATCTTGACGTTGACAGCCATTCGCCACCATGTCCTTGGAACTGTCACCACTGACAAAATGATGGACGTTACTGTGACTATCAAGTAAGACTCGTGTTCCTCGGTGGGCCGAGCGTGTGAGGGTGGTGGACGAGGCCTGGGGGCCTCTCAAATAGACTCTGAAAATGATTTTTGATTTCTTATCTCTAGGTGTTTATATAAATGGCCTTCTCTCTCACACTCACGTGACGTAGCCATAAATTTACAACAGCCTCTGTCCTTTCCTTTTATGATTTAAGAATTAACTCTGGGTGAGGAAGAGCCTCCTGACAGCTCGTTTCACTGACTTCAATTTCTCTTTGAACTCTTACACTTCCTGTCTTTGCCAGGGAAATAAAAAATCTCTGGTTTATTCATTGTGTTTCAAGTGTTTTAGCAAATTCACAAAGATTGCCTATTTTTCTTAGACCTTTTCTCAAAGGCTTGGGCAATAGAGATGACACCTGATATAAAAAAAGGTCACGACAGAGAAAGGATATGAAAGGCTGCCTCTCGCTGAGGGTTGGGTTTCTATGATTGTCACCTTTGAGAGGAATTTTTGCAGTGTAGTGAGGGGCATCTTGCGCCCTAATTTTGTCGAGCAATGAAAGAGCGTTGGCCACCCGACCGTCTTTGTCAAATAGAATGGAAATCAGAGTCAGTTTCTCAGCCCTCACCCTAGTTGCCTTTCCAGCTATGTCTCCACCATCCGGTCCACCACCTTTTCACCTATCCATTCTTCCAGAAGATATTTACTGAGCGTCTTCAGGGTGACTGGCCGTAGTCCACTGCTCCTGCCCTTGTGGGACGTTCAGTCTCATGGGGGAGGCAGACAGCAGTCCAAGAATCACACCCAGAACTGTAACATTACAAGGGCGATAAGAGCTTTGAATTTGACGTTGTCGGGATTGGGGGGCATTCAGGAGAGGGAGGCTGGTAGGGGCCAGCCCACACTAAGCCAGAGTGATCCTTGTATAGTGGAGATCATATTATTCCTCTACTCAAAACTCCCAGGGGTTTTCCATTCCACTCGCAATGAAACCCAGGGTCCCACCAAGAGCCACAGCCCCGAAGCCCTAGTTTGACACCTGCCTCCCCTAAGATCCCCTGACTGATCTGACCCTTCCCTGGGTCCCTTGGCCCAGGCCGCCTTGGCCTCCTCGCTGTCCCTTGAGTATGCCGAGGGAGCCCCCCCCAAGACCCCAAGGACTTGGCACTTGCCGCCCCCTTGCCTGAGACACCCCTCTCCTCACCCAGAGAGCTGCGTGCCTGCTTCCTCCCGTCCTTCTGGTCTTTGCTCAGGGTCCCCTGAGAAAGGCCTTGGTTGACTCCCTAAAAACAGCGCCCCCATGCTCCCAGCCCTCTCTCCTTCCACGTTTGTTTATTCTTCTTCATTTACCTATCATCTGACCTCAGTTTTCCTTTTATTGTTGGCCTCTTCCCCCTGGAATGTGGAGTCCACAGGGTTAGGGAATGTGTCTGCCCTGTTTTTGGCCGTATCTCAGCGCCTCTTTCTCTGGCAGAGGATGCTCTCGATAAAGGCAGAATGAAAGACAGTGGATGGTGGCGTGCAGACAGCGCCACATCCTCGGGCAGTCTGGCGAGTTTCCACCAGTCGTAAAGCCAGTGGTATTTCATTCCAGCCCAGATCTCCAGCTACTGCTGCCATCACGCAGAAGTGCAGTCTGTATTTTAAAAAAACTTAGTGTATTCAAAACAGGAGGAGGAGACTGTGTCACATGGGGGTGTTACCGGGTGTTTGGTTTTTTTCGCTCATGGATGACCACTTGCAGACATGTCAGATTCCTAGCGACGACAGGGACAAGTGACCACGTCCTCTGGGCTGCTGCTTCCTTTCCTCCAGGTCTTCCATTGACAGTGAACCCGCCTTGGTCTTAGGCCCCCTGAAGTCTGTGCAGGAGCTGCGGAGGGAACAGCAGCTGGCCGAGATTGAGAGCCGCAGGCAGGAGCGGGAGAAGAACAGCAAGGAAGGGGGCGGAGAAGGAAGGACCAAGCCCCCCGTGCAAGAGATGGTGGATGAGCTACAAGGCCCCTTCTCCTACGACTTCTCCTACTGGGCCCGGTGAGCTCACTTGGGCTTCTCTCCGCAGTGTACCCTGTTCTGATAGCCTTCCTAACGGAGGGACAGAACCCACCGAACTGAAGTTTTTTTATTATTTCAGGTCTGGGGAGAAAATCACGGTCACACCTTCGTCGAAAGAGCTGCTCTTCTATCCCCCATCCATGGAAGCCACCGTCAGTGGAGGTAGACGTCAACTCAGCGAGCCCGTAACACGCTTTGCAGCTATTGCTTCGCCTGCCTTTAAACATTTATTCTGTGTTGTTGTGACAGTGACACCATCTTTGTAAGGCGCCTTAAATCCCCTCGGGCACATAGATGACACTATTTGATGAATGAATGAGTGAGGGAATGAGATCAGTGAGAGGAACCTTTGCTATTAGAAGGGGGCGGTCTTTTTGGAAAAGGACTCGGGTTTTCTTGACGTGACCAGGTTGACACCAGAGGCGGGCAAAAAGCAAAACCGTCAGTTGCTGGGATGCGGGCATGAGCTGTTCTGTGTCTGAACTGCTCATGATGTTTGTATTTTTCAGTAGGGGTGATGGGCGGGTCTTTTTAGGGCTGCATAGTTAGAAGTGATTGCTTGAGTAGTATTTGCCTCCTGGCTACTGGTAGTTTTTTCTAGCATTATGGGTTCATTAAATCCTGGGCATTTATGTGGTTCGGGTCTGGAAGGAAAATGTATTGAAGAGCCTCGCTTTCCAGCGGCAGCGTGTTTGGGGCGGTCTTCTGCATGTCCTCTCAGCTGCTGCAGAGGCATCTGTCCCCATCTGTGGCCTTGTGGGAACCGTGGGACAGGAGTAGTGAAAACCCAGCCTTTTGCTAGGTTTAGCTGCCAACATTCTTGGCAGTTAAACAAGGCCTTTTAAGAATGGAGGGAGGCTTGGGGCGGCTGGTTAGCTCACGTGGTTAGAGCGCAGTGCTTATAACACCAGGATTGCCGGTTCGATCCCCACATGGGCCACAGAGCTGCGCCCTCCACAACTAGATTGAAACAACAACTTGACTTGGAGCTGATGGGTCCTGGAAAAACACACTGTTCCCCAATTTAAAAAAAAAAAAATGAAGGGAGGCTTGAACCACTTCTGTTTATTGAGGTTTCTCACATATTCAGCAACCTCGTTTGGAGGTTAGCGTCACATATCTCCTTGCTAGGCCCTTTTTTAATGGGAAGCCCCCAGCCGGAAGGCCCCCTGCTGTCTGCAGCTGAGTCATCCTCTTCCGTTTCCTTCCGCTGTTTTAGAAAGCTGCCCAGGCAAGCTGATTGAGATCCACGGGAAAGCAGGCTTATTCCTCGAAGGCCAGGTCCACCCAGAGCTGGAAGGAGTCGAGATTGTCATCAGTGAAAAGGGGGCAAGCTCGCCCCTGATCACAGTGTTTACCGATGACAAAGGTGCCTACAGGTGAGCCCGTGGTTACGACACATCCGCCTGGGACCCATGGGGAGCCCGGTTTCACTGGGGCAGGTGATGCCTCCTCCAGGATCTGAAGCAAAACCATCTCTAGCATTTCCTCTCTTCCACCCAGTGTTGGGCCCCTGCACAGCGACCTGGAATACACTGTGTCCTCCCAGAAGGAAGGCTACGTTTTGACGGCGGTGGAAGGAACCATAGGAGACTTTAAGGCTTATGCCCTGGCAGGTGTAATCTTTGAGGTAACACTGTGTTTTTAAAAAGTTTTTTTTGGGTATAATTGACATATAATAAACTGCACAGAAAGTGTGTAATTTGGTACATTATCGACAGTCTTGACATACAAACATACCCACGAAAACACCACAATCAAAATAGCAAACACATCTGTCGCCACCACCCCCAAAGTTTCCTCGTAACCCTTGATAATCCGTCCCTCCCACCCCACTGCCAACCTGCTCTGCTTTCTGTCCTTATAGATGAGTTTTCACTTTCTAGAGTTTTATAGAAATGGAATCATGCAGGACGTCCCTTTTTTTCTTTTTTTTTTTTGTCCTCCTTTCACTCCGCGTAACTGGGAGGTCTGTTACCTCAGCTTGTGTGCACACCTCTGGGGAAGTGCTTTACGCTTTCCTCCTTAAATCTGTTCTGTGTCGAAGGACAGAGCGTTCCTCCAGGGGTGTTGGATGCCTGTCACCCCTCCTTGGGAAGAAACAACCTGTGAGATGCACGGAGTACGCCCCGAGACCCTGGGGTGTGAATATTTTCAACATGGAGGGCAAAGGAGAAGAGAGGCAAATCGTGTCACATAAGAAGTTAAAATTCTGGGCCGGCCGAGTGGCACGTTGGTTAAGAACTGGCTTAGGATGCCAGTGGGCCCCGGTTCGGATCCCACATATGAGGGCCAGTGACACTGCCCTCTACAGCTAAGATGCTGAACAACAGCTCAACCTGGAGCTGGGCT